TTATAAAATAATTTTTTAAATGATGTGTGATTTTAATAAAATTACGAGTAACAATAATCACATCTATTCGACACTAATTTTTAGATATTAAGATTTTCAATTAGCAGTACAAATTTGATAAAACTTAGCAGAAACTTAGCAAAGTTTGATGACTATTCTACCCCATTTTGGTGACGGACAATTTTTTTGTTCTTATTTTTATTTTATATTACATAATGAGAATTAATCTTTACTTTATACATTTCACCAACATTTCATGAAATTTCTAACATAAAATTATTATTTTTGTTATGCTATTCGTATGATTTTCCATATCCTGACAATGCAAGATTTGAAATCTATCGACAACTTTGAAAGTTGTTTTCCTTTTTGAAAATCAAACATATACCATTTTTCATTGAGAGCGATGGGCTGATAAGGATAGCAATAAAGAAACAAACTCCTAAAGCAAAGAAAGGTACAGCCGCTAATTAATTCCATGCAGCAATAATCTAATCAATAGCAAGTGGAAAACATGACCCCAAATTAATTCCAGACAGCAACCTAACTCCTAACCAGGCTCAAATCAGGGCGCAACCCACCACTTCAACCCCTTACCATGTATACATCATGTCACAGTCACGGTGGAGCCCATTCCATGGAATTAGTCACTTCAAAATCTTGATTCTAAGGTTAAAACTGGATTTGAATCTATCATTCTAAGCACTATGAAAATCACATTTTCAATCCTAGGCTAGTAATGAGGCCCAAAGAGCAGAAATTAATTAAGATGCATACGAGAGAGAGCACTTTGTGCCTTAACCTTTTGTATCTTAAAACCACAATGAAGAAAGAACATGACATTATTAGTTCTGCATTATCCTTTTCAAGCTATCCTCACAACTAAACCAAAAACAAGAGCAATCAATATCCCTCAGAGTCATCATACTACCAAAAACCCCTGCCTAGTAATGAGGCACATTAGCATGTAATTCACATAATCCCTCACATTCTTACACCATCAGATTGTATGATCAATATTCTTCAATGAGATACACGTAGCCAAGGTCTCCTCCAAAAGGGCAAGCCAATGCAATAGGAATATCACCTTTGTTTATCCACACCTTTTCTGACAAAAGTGCTGCCTTCAAGAAATACCTCAGACGATACACAACACCTAATCTCCTGTTGAAATCTCCACCGCTAAAGATCCCTCCTTCCTTATTCTGCTGGTAAAGAGATCACATTAAGTCTACACATAACCACGGATTGATTCTTGTTCAAAAGCTAAAAATTTGAGAATTTTGATGTTTTGATGATACCTCCAATTCAAGGATGATCCTTTTTTGCATGCCATGGATGTACATCTTTCCCTCCCTAACAAAGATCCAAGCAGTTGGCCCAGCATCTTGGGGCGAAAAAGAGTCTAAAATTAGATTTATTCTAAGCAAAACTCAACTAATACTTGAAGAAATTCAGTGAAGGAATTTACTGGAGGGTGGGGGCATGTCCTTTCCGCCGGCATCGCTGATAATTTCTGTCAAAGCATTGCAAAACGGTTCTGATGGGATTTCAAAAGACTTTGCTTTCAGTGATTCTGGTATATCAAAGATTTCGCAATTGCATCGAGTCAATTCCATCCCGAAGGTTCTGCGCTCCCCTGCAGTCCCTATTTTTTTTACAGGAGAAAATGTTAAATGGGAGTCAAATTAAGCAAAAAACAGAGACTCTGTTTTCTTGATTTCGAGTTTTCTTGACGACAATCATTCTTGCGGTCATTTTTTCCGCACCCAAATACATCAAAGAAAGCCCACATTGCTGAAATGTTAAATGGAACTCGAATGAAGAGAAAAAACAGAAACTCTGTTTCTTTTGTGCTTTCTTGGTAGTCGAGCATATGGGTATAAGGGTATGATTTTCTCCACATCCAAACAGACTAAAAGGAACCACATTCTTGAAAAATGAAACCCAAGAAAGGAAAGGGAGAGCAGGGTCGACATTTTTACCTTGGTTTTCAAAGACAAAGTTCATAGTCTTGATCTTGTCGCCCGAAACAGAGATGGTGAGGGCATCTTGCTCGGTTGCTTGATTCATAACCTCTTGAAGGCGAGCGAAATCGAAGGAAAAAGAAGGTGAACTTTGGCACTGATAGCCATCGCAACCTGCAGAAAGGAGGCGTAACACTGCAACGACCCGGTTGTCAGCGGCCTCGAATTGGAATGTTAACCCCGCTTGCGTGAAGTGCACATAGGATTTGTTGCCATCGTGGGCATTAACCTCTGCAATCGCCGCCACAGCATTCTTGAGGAAGACGGCTTGAGGAATCTTGAGCTCCAAGATCGACATGGCTGAGTCTGGGGATAAGATTGTTGAAGAAGAAGAGGAAGAAGAAGAAGAAGAAGATGATGATGATGAAGAAGAAGAAGAAAATGGAGAGAGTAGAAGAGAGAGATTTAGCGGGCAATTTCGTTACGTAGAAAATGGAAAGGTGATATTCAGTGTTAGTTATTTTATTCCCCAGGGCTTAGGCCGCGTTTGGCTTAAAGGCAAACAACTTTACAAAATTGTTTTCTGAATTCATTTTTTGGAATTATTAGCACTTCTTTTTCTTTTTCTTTTTTTGTCTTGTGTGAAGAAAAAAAAATACCATAAAATGGTTTTACCGCAGTATAGCTGATTGGGTATAACAGATTAATGAAATTTTAAGAAGTTTTCAGTGAAATTTTTTTTAATTATATAGTTATTTAAATATATGAAATTAATTAAAACATTCTTTTGTCAAACGTGTAAAATTTACAACACTATTGTTAGTTTTGCAGAAGGATCAGTCTTCTCAATCTTTATGGACTATCTCATGAAATTTATTAATTATAAACAAATTAAGAAGAGAACATTTTTCCCTCGATTTTTTTTTCTGTGTGATTTGAACTCATCTTTATAGAATAAGAATATACAAGTTGCCAAATGAACTATAAATAACCTGAGAAGTGAAAATACAAAGTATAGAAACTTAGCTATAACATAAATAATTTTTTTAAACTTAAGTTTAAGTTTATATACTAACCTCTTAGTATTCAGAAATTGCATATTTATTTCTCCAATCACAAAATTCAAATTCAAAATTTTGCTTAAACAAAACTGAACTTCTTTTATTCAGACCAACAAATTATTAGTTTTTTTTTTAACTTAAGTTGCACAATAAAATTAAGATAAACATCTCACATCTTTTAATTCACTTTCTTTTTCGTATTATGTAATTCAAATTCAAAACTTTTATTTTTATTAGAAGAAAATTATCACTGAAGTTGTTGGCACAAAAATAATCTAATTAAATCTAGCGTCTAGCATATCAAAATAGTAAGTAGAGACTCCAGAATTGAAGTTTTTTTTTTTCCTCAATGTAATGGTGGGCTTAGCTATATAAATGTTTCTTAAAAAATAGTTCCTTGGGCTTCAGCCAGCAATAGCGACGGAGGCCTAGCCCATATAACTGGGTGTGTCAACTCATTGCTCGCTTTTTTTGGCCATCATTTTCTGGCTTTGATTCCTTTTCTTTTCCTATTGTTATGGCCATCATAATTCACGCACGAAATCGAGAAATTTATGGATTGTTGAAGATAAGCAAAGGATGTGCTCATAGATGCAGACAACTATTTGTTTGGTCACATAAATTATTTAATTTTTATTTTAAATTAACTAGCAAAAAATATCATAATTTATAAAATAATTTATATTTACTATTTAATACATTAAAATTAATTTATAAATAGATATTTTTATATATTATAATCAACTTGTATTTAACAAAAAAATAGTTAAATTATGTAACAATAACAAATGATTACACCTGCAAAACCAACGTGTT